AGGGAGAGAGAGAGAGAGAGAGAGAGAGAGAGAGAGAGAGAGAGAGAGAGAGAGAGAGAGAGAACATAAATAAGGAACTGACTACTGTAAATTGTTTCCAGGATTTAATAATAGAGGAACCCCAACCCAATAGACAGCTGTGGGAAAGGCACAGGCACGCCCTTTTCTTTTGAGGCCACAGCACCGTAAGCCATGTCCCAAACTAGCAACTGTCAAGAGGAAAGTAACAATGGCCAGCAAACATCTGAACAAATGTTCAGTATTACTGTAGTCAGGGAAAAGCCACTAGAGTGAGACAGCATTTGGAGACTGCCACACTAGCAAAGGCTGCCTTAAAAAGGAACTTTCCCAGCAAGAGTAAAGCACCAATGTAGATGAGGGCAGTTTGGTCCAGTAGTTTGATAATAATGACCAAAAGCCTCTACATGCTGGTGGCCTCTGGACTCTGCTGTTCTCTTCCTTAGCCTTTACTCTTAACAGATATTCACTAATGGATATAACTTAGAGGGAAAACTTGGAAGAATAAATATTAATTGTTGAACAACAGAGTAATTGTGAAAAAGCCCAAGGCAAACCTCTTGCATAGATAAGATATTAAACAAGAGTCTTCAGAAACATAGAGTCATGCTCATGCAATTTTAATAAATGGAAACATTAACAAAAATAATATTGTGTGTATTCTTGTGGGAAGTACATGAACGCATGTGGGCACAGGTGGCTAACAGAACTACTAACAATGCTTATACAGCTCTGAAGTGTCAGAACTCTGGTTGATTTTCTTCTCTGCCTCTTGCTTTCTTTCTAAAATAAACATGTACATATTACTTTGAAAAGAAAACTTGAAATTTTAAATTTCTCAGTGACACATAGAGATGTGGAACACGTGTGTTTCAGAATGTCGCGTGGTTGGATTCAGCCAGGATGCAGCCTTTCGAGTGGGCTTCTTTCACTCTGCAATATGCTTATCGGTGTCCTTCCTGTCTTTTTGTGGCTGGGGGCGGGCATCACCTTTGGGGTCCTGAGTAACACCAGTACAGTTTTTGAAGCTTGGTTCCTCTGGCCATACAGCCAAAGACTACCATTTGGTTGGGACAAAGTGAGGAGAATTTAGGCCCAATTTCAAAAGTCTAAAGGTACCACTCAGCTTTCCTTCCTCTATCCAAGCCAGCCTCCCCCAAGCACACCTCACCTTCATCTGCCCAGCCTGCACCACTGCCATCATGCCTGAATGGGCCACAGTTCTTCGCTGCCAGACTCCAGCAAAAGGCGGCACAAACAGGATCTATTTTCTTGTCACAAATATCACTGATCCCTCTCTCCATTCAAATCAGACCTGGAGCATTTTCAAGCTTTAAAACCACATTCCTTGGGCCTGTGTGATGTCTCAGTGGGTAAAAGTATCTATCACACAAGCCTAATGACCTGAACGTGACCCCTAGAACCCACAGTGGAAGGAGAGAAACAATGCCCAAAAGTTGGTCTTTGACCTCCACACACAT